AGAGTAAGAGAGAGAAATCAATTTGCTGTTCCACTTATTTATGCATCCATTGGTTGATTTTTGTATTGTGCCCTGACAAAGGATTGAACCTGCAACCTTGGTGTACTGGAATGGTGCTCTAACCAACTGAGCTACTGAGCTAGGGCTCCTTCCATTTACTTACTGTAGTCTTGGGAAAGTTACTCACCTCTCTGAACCTCAGTTTCCTAATCCACAAGATGAGAGAGTGATATTACGATCAAGTGTATATGTGAAATGCCAAGTCCATTTACTATCATAAAAATGAATGATTATAATTAATTGTTTTTCTTTTATTGATTCCATAATGAGAGGAAGGGAAGGAGGGAGAGAGGGAGAGAAATACTGATGCAAGAGAGAAACATTGATTGGCTGCCCCTTGCATGTGCCCAAGCTGGGGACTGAACCTGCAATCTAGGCATGCTCCCTGATGAGGAATCAAACATTCTGTCTTTTGGTATGTGGAACAATGCCCAACCAACTGAGCCACACTGTCTAGGGATAGTATTAATTTTTGAAATGATCTTAAGTCTTGATGGCTCAGAGGCCTTCAGCATCTCAGCACCCCTTCAGATGAAAGGTTTCCATGGCTTGAAGTGAACAGACTTCTGTACTTTTCTAAGTACATGCTACAGTCACTTACGCAGACAGGAACCAGAATCATTTTTCACTTCCTTATACTTGTGGTTACAGAAGGTAGACAAACAGGAGCTTCAAAAAAGGACGAACCAGCCAACCAATTTAAGGGAAGGTGACAGGTTGTTTACAAGAACCAGTAGCTTATCAATGACTCCATGTTCTTTCTCTAGATTTACCTATACATTTTAATTACTGGTACTATTTATTCTTTACTTCCACAATACTTTATGACAAATAGATCTATCAATCCCCATATTTAGAAGTTTATTTTTATATGATGATTTTCAATCACTTATTCATAACCATTCCTTAGCTATAGGTCATCATAAGTTTTTTTCTTTGTGACACTTAAAGAGATTTTCTTCACATTTGCAACTGCTTCAAATGTATTTTTTACAGAATTAAAGATCTCCATGGTTTGGTGACCATTCAGAACCTGGAACACAGAAACCTTGTAATATCAGCAACACAGCATATAGGCCAAGAAAAAAATTATGACAATATTATTTGCCAGAGTTCTATGTTAGTTTTCTAGGGCTACTGTAACTAAAGACAACAAACTTCAGTGGCTGGAAATGAGAGAAATTTATTTGCTCACAGTTCTGAAGGAAAAAAGAACAAAATCCAGGTATGTATCAGCAGGGCCATCTACCCTCTGACATCTCTGGGAAAATCCTTCCTTGCCTCTTAGTAGATTCTGGTGGCTCTGGGCAATCTTTTGCATTCTTTGCCTTGTGGCTGCATCATTCCAATCTCTGTTGCTTTGTCCCATGGCCATCTTCCCCATGTTTCCTGTCTTCATATCTCTCTCATTTTATGAGGATAACAGTAATTGGATTTAGCACCCATCCTAATTCAGCAGGACTTCATCTTAACTTCATTACATCTGCAAAGACCCTACTTTCAAATCAGGTCACATTCACAGGTAGAGGGGTTAGGATTTCAACATATCATTTTGAGGGCACAATTCAAGCCACAACACATTCCTACAAATTTGCATTAGACAACACCAAAATTGCAATGAAAATGTATCCTTCACATGTGAAGTTTGTGCCACCCAATAATTTCCCAATTCTTTAAAAAAACTTTTTTTGTTGATTGATTTTAAAGAGGGAGTGGGGGAGGGGAGGAGAGAGAGAGACATTGATGTGTTGTTCCATATATTTATGAATTCATTGCTTGATTCCAGTATATGCCAGGGCATATCTGGATGATGCTCTAACCAACTGAGCTACCTGGTCAGCAGCCTGATTTCCTAGTTCTTGAGCTTTAACCCACTAGGAAGACATGCCAGTTGGTATTAGAGGCATGGTTTGTGGGCATGTACAAGAAAATTTTGTTGGTTACTATAAAGGTTCACATGCATTGAGTTCCTACTTTGTGCCAGGTCCTTTGCTTGGTGCTAGAGATGCAAAAAAAAAAAAAAAAAAAAAAAAAAATTAAAAAGTCACCAGTCCCTACTTTGACGGAGCTCATTATTGTAGCCTGGACTGGTTCCATGACCTTGGTTATGGTTAACAGCCTTATATTAATAAAGTGAGCAAACCAGCTATCCTAATCACTTTAGTAAGAAAACTTACAGAGACTTGATTAGATACACAGTTTTGTTATAAGCTGTCATTTCAACAGGACTTGTAAAAGTTGAGGGGATTACCTCATTGTTAAAAATGAGTTACCTTTTTTGGAGTTAAGTACTCGTAATTCTTTTGAACCCTAAGGGAAAGCAAAATGGAGAACAAATCAGATAGTAAAAGGTGATGGTCCTGCTAGTTGTTTTGACTTTTCTTGCTTCATCTACCAATACCCCTCACCAAGTATGGACCAGAGGTGTTTGTTTTGCTTCGGTGCCCCAAGATTCACACTACTGTCAGCACTTAGAATTGTTATTGTAGGTAGGTTCTTATTTCCAACACTCTTGGACATGTTTTATGTAATTACAGGATTAACACCTCATTTTTATAGGTGAAAGAAGGCTGAAGAATGTGACTGGACCAAGGCTGTGTAACCACCTCAACAGTCAATATTGGAAACTCCATGAGAACAGTGGCCCTGTTTTTGGTGACCTTTGTATTTTCAGATTAGCATGTGCCTAGCAAATAGTGAGTACTCAGTAAATGCTTGCTGAGTGAATGAAATAATAATTTGAATAATGAATGAATTAGTCAAAAATACAACTTTATCAAATACCTTTTTTGCACTGTCATCATGATCTCCAATTTTTTCTTAAAGATTGTATTTATTTTTAGAGAGAGGTAAAGGGAGGGAGAAAGAAAGAGAGAGAAACATCAATGTGTGGTTGCTTTTCACATGCCTGCAACCCAGGCATGTGCCTTGACTGGGAATCAAACTAGTGACCCTTTGATTCACAGGCCGACACTCAATCCACTGAGCCACACCAGCCAGGGCTTGAACTCTAATTTTTAAACGGACCCAATATTCTCAATAAAGTTTCAAGATAGTCTAACAAATGTTTAGACAGCATTCTTTTTTCATGTGCTATTAACTTAATTACTTAAAAGAGAATTTGTTAATTTGTGTTCTAGATTATCCAATATTCTCAATTTTTACTCTCAATGCTTTTTTTTTTTTGCTAGTCTTTGTACCTCTTGAAAATTAAGAAGAGAAAGAGAAACTAAATCACAGATCTTACTGCTTTGTTCATCCAGTAAGCCTTTTACAATAGCTGTTATCTGTTCCCAGCTGTTGTGCTAAATTTAGGATTTTGGATTATCTGTAACTGTTCTGTCTCCCATTACCAAGATTAATTGAGAAGTGATTGTAGAACAAGTGAAACTTCAGGTCATAAAAGAAGCTATATAATACCGTATTCAATAATCTCAAAGTCAAATCCACTGGGAATTAGTATTTGTAGCCATTACATAGATTAAGGAACTGTTGCATTTGTCAGAAGTTTCATCTTTATCAGAACATTTCCTTGAAAACAAAATGATGCCTTCCTGCCCTGTTATGATTAGATACAATCTTAGAGTTAAGTCTGCTAATTGCAGTTGTGAGTGTAATTTTACAATATATATCAACACATCTAAAATATACTAATTTTTCATAAAAGAAATTTCATGTATTTGATAGATCTGAAGGAAAAAAAATTTACAATATCCAATTTTGTACTTCACAAAATCTTTTCCAATGTAAAAATTCTCACTGTAAAACAGTGAGTACAAAGACAATAGTAAATCACTTATACACCTTTCCTGTTGTGATTCTTGTATGCACAATTATTTCTTTAAAAGAAATTTTCTAACGAAACCAAGAGCTTGGCAAATTTTGTCTTTTTCCTTGCCTCTGTTTTGAGCTCACAACCCATATATGTACTTTGCCTATTAACTGAGTAGCTAACAGCTTCAGTGCTTGTTAGGATTGCTTTTTAAAATTACAGCAGATCCTTGTCATCTGTTTGTGTTTGAGCGATGACACAACATCACAACACGAAATGTAATGTCACATTGTTACAGCACAACAAGAAAATTACAGCTCTCCAACAATAACACGGTGTCAAAAGTGTCCTCCTGGCATGAGTCAGTGTTTTAGATGTTGTAAAAGCTATTTTTAGCGCAGCGAGTGCCTCGGGAGCTTGGGTTCCGAATCCCACTAAAATCACTAGTGATTGGGAAAAATCTAGGGCGCGGGGGTTTGTTCTTAAACTCTCTAATCCCTGGTGTGCATGGAGCCCACTCTCCTGTCCTGACCACATCAGACCCAGTCCCACCGTGAGCCGCAATCCACTTGGGGCTCGGTCACAAGTCTGCGCCAGCATCCGTGTAAAGGAGGAGGAGACTAAAATTATCCTCCACGTCTGGGTCAGGCCCTCGAATGACATCTCCCCAGTTACCCTGTGCTCTAATAGCGCAGCTCGTATTCCTGGTTCCAGACGCGCCGTAGCGGGCTCAGAGCTCAGAGCCGAGGCGACCGCGGCCGAGCGCCCCGCGCCTCTCTGGCCTCCGGAGCTCAGCCAGCCGCACGCAGCCTCCACCGCCCCTCTCGTCCTCGCAGAGAACGGACACCTGCACCCAAACCCAAGCCCCCCAAACTATCAACCCGGGGCGCGCGAGGCGTTGCCATAACAACCAGGCGCCAGCCGCGGAGGCCGCCGGGGAGGAAGTGACGAGCGGTGGGTTGGCTGTTGTTGGGACACGTGACCCGGGCAGTGTTTTGACAGGGCAAACAGCAGAGAAAGAACTGGGCGAGCGAGGGGGATCGGGAGCTGGGCGCCAGAGCTAGAGACAGCGGGCGGGCGAAGAGCTGGCAGAGACGCGGGGCAGGCGGGCCGGCTGGGGGCCCCGGGGTTCGGGTGCGAGTCGGTCAGGGCAAGGGGCTGAGGGCTGGGAGCGGAGCGAGGCTGCAGCTGAGGCGGGGTTGGATGGCCACAGGGGCGCCGGGGAGCAGCGTCCGACTTGTCGTCTCGGGCCCCCATGGTCCCCTAACGGAGCCCTGGGGGGCGCTACGCGCCACACTCCGCTCTCGCCAGTCCTGCGCCTCCCGGAGCCTCGGGTCTGAGGTGGGAGTGTGATGTGAGTCGCCGGGCGAGCGGCTGAGAGAAGTGCCAAGAGGAGGAGGGATCGGCACCGGAGAGGAGAGCGAGTTAGGCAGCAGAGGTCGGCCGAGGGAGCCATGAAAACAACTCTCCAGTGGGGAGAGGGGCTGGCGTGGCGCTTGGTGCGGCGGGGCTGAGGGAAGTCCAGGGCCGCGCGGGACGGCTACGCAGAGCAGGGGCGAGCGCCTGGCCGTGAACTCCTGCCCCGGGCGACCTCAGGCCTGGCCACGCAGAGCTAAGGGTGGTAGGAAGCGACCCGGGACAGCCCCGTGGAGTTCGTTTGGGGCGGGGGGCTGGGCTCGAGGAGGTGACTGGCTTAGCTTTCTGACCCTCTTATTGTGTAAACTTGGCCGCGGTTGCGGCTGAAAGGCTAGCCGGAGGGTAATTACACAGGTGAGGCCCCTCTGGGCTGGAGGACCACTTGGGGAGGCTCCAGGGGGTCTTCAAGTGTTTCCTGTGCCCAGGCACCAGGTCGGAGAATTTCTATACCAGCCACTGCGGAGGTGCCACTGTTCCCAGCGGCGTTTTTTACAAAGGGGTTAGTTAGCTTGTGTTGCTTGAGTCTTTTTTTTTTTTTTTTTCTTTGCCTGTACCTCCAGGTTATAAATAGATCTTCTTTTGGTTCGGAGACACTGTGTCAAAGAAGGACACTTTGGCCTGGAGAGTACCAGGGCGGGGGAGAGGGGTGCTCGGTCCGGAGGAGACGGGGGAGGCGGTGCAGAAAGTTTTGCTTTTTTCAAACCTGTCGATGGTGCTGTCACCGCAGTTAGTGCCAGGAAGAGGCCTAACTGTTAACAGTAGTTTTCTTGCAAGGTCTGAGTGTTAGAACAGGACCTGATTAATTTTATTTTGGTCTCTTTTAGCATTTTGCAAACAGCAGTAGCCACAGAATAAGCGGCGAGCCTGTTGAAAGAACCCACACGTGTATTTTACAGCACCCTGGGTGGAAATTGGATGTGAAAATGAAGCCAGACCGAGGTAAATGATTTATTTAAGTAGGTTTTTTTTTTTTTTTTTTTCCCTGTGCCCCATTTTAGAAGCGTTAACCTAATTCTGTGGGAGGACCAACTCTTTGTGTATTACATATGATGACTTGTTTCTGTTACAGATTCCAGCTGGTAAGGTAGAGAAGGTGACAATGGAAGAGTGAGTTAGGATCTAGATGGGAGGATAGTCCTCAAAACTGAAGTAATTTCCAGAGAGATTCTGTTGTAACTCAAAATGAAATTGTCAAGAACAGCATTTGTAACTGTTGCCACAATACTTGGTATCATTTTAGGGTTACCGGTACGTTATTCATTTTAGGTGAAGTCAGTCTAACTTCAATTTTAAAGAGGTTTACAATCTTTTTCAACTTAAAAAGTTAAACTTGATAAGAAAATTTAGTTTAAGATTGTTTTATTACTAGTTTTATTACTAGTATTGCTTTCATTGGCTGATATTTGTGCTTTAGACAAACTCAAAAACTTTGCACCGTACTCCAGGGCCTTATTCAATATATCAGTACATTGGCTAGTTAGGGCTAGTGAAATCCCTAATGATAAGTAAATATGTCATTTCCTTTCCAAACCTATATTTTCAGGATTTAGGAGAATAACTTTTTTAAAGACTTTAGAGGAATTGAAAACTCGTTTATCAGTTTTCTTTTGATTAAGGCATGGACCAAGATGAGACTTTGATTTAGTAGTAGTTCGGAGTGAAGGCTTTTCAGTCAGATGGGGACTTGGTTCCAAGGAAAATTGTAAGAAGAGAATTACTGTATTTGCTAGGGAGTTGGACCAGATGACATAGTTCCTTCCAAAGCTGAGACTTTAGGAATGAAAACGTTAATTTATCCTCATACGAATTAAATGTTCATTTTTAAAAAGATATGTATTAAACTGGTTTTCTTCATATTTTTTACAAAGTGGATTAGAAAGACAAATTTTCTATTCTACTTAAAATATGTCTTTGGAACTAGTGTCTTTTAAAATGTGCTCAAAAGCCATAGCATGTGTGGCTCAGTTGGCTGAAGCGTCCTTCTGTCCTCCTCCTGTAAACCAGACGGTCTCAGGTTTGATTCCTGGTCAGCTACCATACCTTGGTTGCCAGTTTGATCCCTGGTCCGGGGCATGTAGGAGGCAGAGGCCACCGCTCGATATTTCTCTCTCACATTGATGTTTTTGCTTTCCCCCTTCCTCTCTCTCTAAAAAACCAGTGGGGAAAAAAAGGGATAGATAAATAACAAACAAACAAATAAATAAATAAAATGCACTAGAAAGAAGTTGAGAAAGCCAGACTTAATTCAGTGGCTTAAGTTAGTTTTAAGCATTTGGTTGTTTTTTAAAATCAACTATGCATGAAGTATTAGTAAGTATATTGCTACAAAGTAGGTTGTTCGTATTGAATCCCAAGTTAGACTTTTAGATTACATCAGTGACTTTGGAAAAATGGCACCAAGGTCTGTAATTGCATCAGAATAAACAAGCAAGTAAAATCAAAGTTGCTGTGTGTTTTGGGGTTTGTTATTGTTGAGTTGCTTTCAGGTTGTAAGCAGTTTAAAAATATTTGTATACAATCTCTGTTTTAACCAAAACTAGTACTAAACAATAAAATGTTACTTATATACTGATAGATTATTTGGGAAAATAAATGAATTTATTCATTAAGGCTCCTAAAGAAGTAACATTTTTCCCTCTAAAATTGTATCTTTCTTAAGTATTGTGTAAAGATGTTGGGATTGCAGGTTTAGTGTTATAATTATATTTCATAGTAATAATATGACTCTTTAGCCTATGGCTTTCTTTTGACCAGGACCCAAAGTAAGTAACATCTTTTATTTTGCAAAGTAGAATAGAAATACTGAACTAAACTTTGCACCAGTCTTGCCTTGCTATGTGAATGTGGTATTGTATTTTCTGGTCTATTTCTATTTTTAAAAATTGCTGTCACAACCCATTGAATTGATTTCTTGACCTGAAGCTGGAGAGACACAGTTATGGGCAAAACTTAGTTAGATGACAATAATACTTCATTTTTTCCACACTGGTGTCTAAGAAACTGTTCTATATGAGTGAATTTTCTGGATAATTGAAACTTTACTCTTTAAATGCCAAAAATATTTTCAGTTGTAATCATGATATATGGACCTCTAAAATAGTAATGCTTCTTTGCCATTAAGAAAAAAGGAAAAACGATATATAGAATCAACGTAGTTTAATTTTTACTTAATGATAAAGGGGCATTTTATGAATGTCAACTTTGTACTCTGTCATAATCTAGAAATGCCCTAAAGACATTTAAATTTATACGATTTTTTTTTGCCTCTAGCTTAAACCACGTTAGCAGTTTTTTTGGTTTTTAGATTTGATTTTTAAATTCCCATCCTATGAACAGTCTTTGTTGCTAAAATGCTTATTCTTGCCTCCTTTTAATTTCACCACTTTAAGTCTCTGGGCTAGAGAACTAGATAATCATGCTTAATACTGAGTCTTTAATACTAATGCTTAAAATGAGAGGAAATAGAAGAACCCTTCAGATATTCATTCAGAATCTGAATAAAGTGCATAAATTCTAGTGTAGGAATTTGGAGACATTAACTTAGTGAGATACAGCTGTGCTTCAGAGAGTTTCTAAACAAGTACAATAGGAGCTTCTTATCCTACATGATGGGGTGTGATAGTTGGCTAGTTGAAAAAGACAGTTTAAGTGAGAAATTATTTAAAAATAACACCCTTAATTATTTCATCTATCTTTTGATGTACCATCGGGCCCTTTTGGGGGGTGAAATAGGGCCTGTTTTTCAGTTAGATATGATTTTTTTTGTATAAACCACACCAATAATATACACCTAGTTTGATTTCTTTAAAATGGAATATGACTTTGCAGGGCAATCTGAGGGTAGACTCTTCTACATTAAAAAAATTAAAAATTACTTTAAATGTTTCACATGACTTCATAGGTGTCTTGTACACATATATTCTACAGGCATTTGTTTTGCGGAGAGAGTAGAATATATGTTCATCAAAATATGTTTTCTCCAAAGCACTCAACATAGTTTTCACTGAAATAACATTTTTTGCACTGATTTCATTAGCCTATATAATATTTAAATAAATTAGTTAATTTCAAGAGGCATAAACAGATTTGGGAACAAAGGTCATGTACTAGTAGAAGTAAAAGCATGCAGGCAACCAGAAAGCACAGTAAGTCCTCAATTAATGTCATGGATAGGTTCTTGGAAACTGCAACTTTAAGCAAACCAATGTATAACAAAACTAGTATTCCAATAAGCTAATAGATATAGAGTTCAGTACCTATAACATACTTCTGGTCACAAAAACATCACCAAACTTTTAAATGAAGACCCCACACACTTCTAACATTAAACATGGAAATAAATGTGAGCTATACATACATTTAAGAAGTTTGATAAAAACAAGGAAGATAATTGTTTTCCAACCTGCTTATTCCAGTTCAAGGTCGCAGATGGCTGGATCCTTTCCCATCAGCTCAGGGCACAAGGTGGGAACCACCCTGGACAGGACACCCTTCCATTGCAGGAGGCATCACGCTACACCCGCACTCACTCAGCCTGGGACAAGCTGGACACACCATTCATCTCACACACGCATCTTTGGGATGTGGGAGGAAACTGGAGGTTTCCCAGGCAGACACAGGGGAACATGCTAATTCCACACAGACAGTGGCCCCACCTGAAAGTTGATTCTTTTTCCTTGCCAACATTATAATGAAACAGTGCTATTCAAGGAGCTAATGTACCCTAACAACTGTTAGTGTCTTTTAGTTTGCTTTTATGGAGTGTATAAGAAGCATTGGCCAATCTTGCTAGCTGGTTAAGTGAAAGTCAGGAAAGCTTCTACTGCACTTAGAGCTAATTAAGATGTTACAGCAATTTTAAACCTTTTTCATCTCATGGTACACATAAACTAATTACTAAAATTCTGCAACACGCCAAAAAATGTTATATTTTTTGCCAAGCTGAAACAAATATGTGTAATTTTGATTCATTCACACCAGACGGCTATTGCTGTGTTGGCTGTTGTCATTTTTAAATTTGACAGTCTAAGGGAAAAGAGGTCAGTGCCCCTGACTAAATAGTCAGGAATTGCATGTTTCAAAAATTCTTGTGGGCCGTGTCCTTGTAGCTCAGTTGGTCAGAGCATTGTCCCAACATGCCAAGGTCGCAGGTTTAATCCCTGGTCAGGGAACATACAAAGATCAACCAATGAATGCATAAATGAGTGGAACAACAAATTAATGTTTTCTCTCTCTCTCTCTCTCTTCCCTGCCCCCCCTTTCCTCTCACTCTCTAAAAAATCAATTTAAAAAAATTGCTGTGGTACACCAGTTGAAAATCACTGATATAGTGTGATTGCTACATTTCACAATTGTCGATAGTATTTTACCATTGTCTGAGGTAAATCTTTTTATTTTTTTAATTTTTAAGCAGTTACATAACATTACTTGGGCAATGCTGCTAAATAGGACTCTTTCATGTCATCATTAGCACAGGTTTTGGAATCAGACATGTATTTGGATCCAGCTTACATTACTAGCTAGCCATTCAATCTTCACCAAATTACTTAATCCCTGAGTCTCAAGTTCTTTGTAAAATGGGGATAAATCAGACTTCTCATAGTTGTTAGGATGAAATATGACAGTATTTGGCACCTAGATATAAATTAAATGATAACCATGATCATGTTAAACAAGACATTATAGATGTTTATATGTTGGTCAGTTATAAAAGGTATTCAACAGAGGTAAGGAAATAATCAAATGTGCAATGACCTAACACTATTTTGTTTTGTTTTATATTCATAGTGTTCAACCTGCTAAGGCTCAAGCAGATTTAATCGGCTATTAATATATATTTATCTGAGAAAAATATAAAAACTACAAAAGGATGCTTGCTATATATGTGTAATTTATTTCTTTATATTGTCATTTGTTATTACAATTACAGTTTAATTTCT